TATTTCTACAAGGAGAGCAGTGCTGTGTACAAAAGAAGGACCAAATATGAATTCTTTATAAAAGCTAGTCAATTAATTAATTGTTTTCGCCTGAAGTGTTACAGCCCCATATGGCAGCAAGAATGTCATCATAGGTGTACGGCAAATAAAATCTCCTTAGACTTACAGGGGAAAAAAGAGTATCAACTGAATGGTTTAAAGATGGTGCCTTTTAAGAGCTGAACAGTTCACCTCAGTTCAACAAGGAGTGTGAAAATTGAAGAGGAAAAATGTCGATTTGAAGTTTTCATCACCAATATGAAAAATACGTGTTTAAATATACAACAGGCTTTGCTAGATCTGCGTGCCTTGTGTAACTGCGTCAAAGAAGGCTTTTCTATATTCTCATGGGAGCAGGGTGAGTCTGATTCCCAGTCCCGGGAGCCAGACGTGCGTAAAGGTGCTGTTCAAAGAGATCAGTGCAGTGGGACGTGCAGATGTGGAGAACAGGACTTGGCAGCCGCTGTGTCCCCGTTGGGGAGTGCTCAGATCCAGATCGGTGAAGCTGGGTTACCAGCTACCTGACTCCCATAACTCTTCTTAAGCACCTTCCAGGGAATATTTACAACTTTCCAAAAGACGCCTCCTGGCCCCGCGAACAACCTCTTGTCAACAGCCTGCTTCTCTTCTCCCGAAAACCCGCCAGTTACTCTCTGTGCCCATCCTCACTTCACAGCTGGTGTCCCCAGTCACTGCAGAACTTGCCAGCCAGAATCAGTGTTCCCCGTCCGAGTCGCAACCCTGATGGAGATTCTCAGTCCAAAGAATCTCTTCTTGTTCGTGCAGCTCATCGAGGCTGACATCAGTCTCCTCCAAGGCAAGAAATATGCTTACTTTGAGAGATGTGCATCAATTCTAACTACCACTTTGTCTCTTTAATCCACAGGAGTTCAAAATATGAGGCTGCCTTCATGCAATCAAAACTGGAACGTTTTCACAACTGAGACTTGTATCAAAACATCAGTTTGCTCCATGAAGAATCAGAGATCGGTGCGCTCTTGCTCTCTGGTCACAAGTGGAATCATGGAATCATGGAACGGCTGAGGCTGGAAGGGACCTTAGAGATCATCTAGTCCAACCTCCCTGTTATGGCCAGGGATGCCACCAAGTGACGACAAAGCCCTGAGAAAAATGTTTCTTGAAAAAAGCTTGGATAAATTTGACACATTGGCAAATTGTAATGACTGCCAGGAGTCCCAAAGTGCTCGTCGTTCATTCATGGATTGTGCCTCATTACGTCAGAATGTACCAGAGTCAACACTACCTATGTACTTGTCTGATAGAAATGGACTTAAATTCCAAATTAAATTTGTATTTCAGAGGTCTCCAAGTTCAAGAGTTTTTATTACCAGGTCTATATTTCAAATTGATCTTTTTCCTTTATTAAGTTATGCTATTTCTATTATTAATATCCTCTGTTCCTGAAAAGTGTACATTTCACTGTGTAACCTAGCATCGCTGATGTACGTTTTCGTTAGTTGGCTGCATTTTCTATTGATTAGTAAATGGATTTCTGAGTTATTACAAACTTTTTAATGATGAAAATTGCAGATTTTCTCACCTCTTTTCCATGACAGCTGTGAACATCTTAATTGTCTCATTTCTTTTCCTATTCTTGAAGGATAGGCAAAATGACCTCTGTTTTAGTGGGGTTTTATCTTGAACAAAAGTCCGTGTAATTTCTGAAGATTCGAGGGAGTTGGGAAACGTATTTGTGTTAGGCACAACACAGGTATGTGTTATTAAAGGAATCTCCAGCACAGCAGTATTTGAACTGACTGAAGAGCGCTGTTTGTCTCAGCAAGGCTTAGTGCCTATAAACTCTAAGTGTAGGTATCCGTCATTTTTATCTGCTGCTCCTACTTCAACGTATTTCTGCCAAATGCAGCGTAGTACTTGGAAGAAGTTGTGTCTATGCTTACCTCTACCTGTTGGAAAAAAGACAGATGTACAGGATCCGAACCTAATCAAAAAGGGTCAGCCAGAAAATATAAACGAGGTATTCTCGGTGTAGCCGTGTGTCCGCAGCACTGCTTTCAGCATTTGGGCGGATCTGTCTGGAAAAATCTAGGTCAGCTGCATGTTTTAGGGAAAAAGCAGGGGGGAAAAGCTGGATTATTGGTGCTATTCTGCCTGAAATTTGGTCTCGCAGAGTATTTGAGCACTATGTTTGAGATAAAGATACGTTCATTCGATTTTTGTCGCTGGCTGGTTGGTGTTTGATTCCATCTTCAGAGGACTCAGATGGAGAGTGGAGAAGCCTGAGCTCCTGTCACGAGTTCAGGTTGTGGCTGGAGTCCCCGGAGCTGGCCAGATACCCATGATGTGTATTTGGTATTGCTGCAGTGAAAGCAGCTGATGAGTTAAACCGTTCAGAGCAGATATTTTGCTACCGGCTATTACTAATCAGAGCTGACATCCTGTAGAGTTGTGCATTTTTCTATTTAAGAAGCGTTCTATCAAAATGCATTTGAGCCGGTGGGCTGGCGTGCTTCGTTTGGGTCCTTCGGGTGTCCTGGCTGTGACTGGGGTTGTCAGGGGCGGAAGAGCTGAACAGGTCAGTCCCGTGCTGGGGGAGCTCTGCCCAGTGACCCCCCAGCTTTGGGGTCAGGGGTGGTACCTGAGCATCTCAGGGGTTCCCTGTACATCAGGCTGGTCCTTTCTTTCCATATGTGAGCCCTGGGTCTAGAAAGAACAGGAGATAATGACCATCAGTGTTTCATTTATTATAAATATTTAGTAATTACAATTTTCTATCAGCAAACTGAGTTGTGTGAAAGGAAGGCCACCTTTGTACAATTTTCGAAACTGAATTCTAAATATGGGCTTTGTTGTGCTATTAGGGTGCATGCCTGATTGGTATTGTCAATAAAAATATGAGCACGTGGGTAACAAACAGAAAAACACACTTTTTATAGCCATATTGGCAATAAAATTAAGCTGGATGGACTTCCTTGTGGATACAAGAACGTCTGTACCTCTCAATTTTCGTTCTATTGCAAGGCACGCCTTCTTTACGGATTGTTTTAGAGATGTTTTTTCAAGAGAATGTGGTTTTGTAACACAGCACTAATAGCTGGCTGTGATTCACAGACCACTTTAAAGTATTTTGCTTTCAATTTTTTCTGATTGCCTTTCATCTCCCAGGGGCTTTGAAGTCAAAAAAAAAAGAAACAACAAACAATCAAAACCGTGTAATGCTCATCTAATTATCAGGGCATTCTTACCTCTAAAAACTTCTGTTATCGAAGCTGCTTGAGGCTCATGAGGAATCCCATCACCAGTGGGGGCCACTGTTGCTCCGCACATGCGGCTGAACCGTCCCTGTCCTTCAGCGAAAACCCAACCTTGGGAAATCAAACCCGCACCACAGCGACTGGAACGTTGCCGGAGCTAAAACTCTGCGCAGACTGTGGCCAGAGGCTTGTCCCTGCCCCCACTCGGGTGTATGCTTTATTTTGTTCCTTAAAAGAATCTTATTCTTGCTTATCTTGTGCAAAGTGAGATAAATATGCACCGAATTAATTCCAGATGTGTTTCATCTAAGCCTTTCCCTTGCTTCAGGTTTGTTGTTGAGCCTCAGACCGACAGCAGCTGAACCTTGCAAGTATCTCCTCTGCACCAAATGCGATTTTAATGAGGAAATTGCACATCAGTGCAAGAACTTGGGGATCGTGTAAGAGCGCAAGATGGCTAAGAACTGGGGCTTCTGTCAGCACTGTGTGCGTAGGTTGCTCACACGCTTTCTCAGCGGAGTAAAGCCTGTGGAGCAGCACAAGGGCCAGGTACAGCTATTTCTTCCAGGCTTGCTGTTTGGTAATGTCAGGTCAGCTAATGGCCTTCCCGTCGCAGCTTATCTACCTTTAAGTGCTCTTCGGTTTGCAAAGCCAAGGGCAATCAAGGTCTGCTTGCTTACTGCATTAGGAGAAACCTTGCTTCACCTTGCCCTGGGCTATGCAGCCGTTTCATAGGTTTACTTTATTCTTGGATGTTGCAGGCACGATAGGAAATAACACAAGTTTCTTTTCTACTCTTTCTTTACAGAAATGCTGTGTAACAAATGGAAAAACTAAGGACAAAAAGATAAAAGAGATTTAAAGACTTTGAGGCTCAATCCCACGCTGGGTGGGGGTTTTTTTTGTTACTGCAGTTGTTTGTTAACTAGAAACCAACAGATGAGAACTTTGTTTTCAGCAATTTAATATCTCCTGAAATATTTGCAGCCATCTGCAAGGCAGCAACTTGTTCGAACGAGTAGACAGCCCTCTGCCTGGATAACCTAATTCGTATTGCTTCTGCATGGAGCAGATCACTTACGTACGTGAGCAACAAGCTATATTAAGTAGTACTTAAGATCACCCTAAGCAGTTTACACAGAGGTGTCCCTTGCTTTGCTGTCTCTCCCCAGTTGGCTGATGGCTTGCAGGTATTTCTGACCCCCTTCATAGTCCAGGATTGGACTAACGTGGGGAAAACACCCCCAGGTGGAACAAGAGTTACGAGTTTGCCTCGGTGGGCAAGTAGCAAAAGCAGAACTGGGTGGTCTTCCGTAGGAAATGGTGTAGACGCTGATCATCACGTCAGCTTCTTTCTCGAACCATTTCTTCATCAGGTGCTCCAGAAGGCCATAGTTGGTGGGTGGTTCTGCAATAGGAAATGGTTAAATGTTGGAAATGACAGAATTAAATTTTTGGTGTTTTCACTCCAAGTCGTCATAGGGAATATTTGTACTATTTGGGCAGCGTATCAAGGACAAACCAGATCTTTTTGTCCCCAGGGAATGTATGTCTGCCCTCTGGCCGGAAGGGAAAATCACTATCGATAAGACAGCAGTAATGGTGTAAACGGAAGGAGTCTCTCTGGTGGATATTTAAAAAGTTAGCAGAGCTGTACATGTCGCTTGCATTTGGAAACGTAACACTGCACGAATTGTCCTGCCAGTTGTATCTCACAGCTCTCCTTGTTTGCAGCCGGTGTTTTGCGTTATTGTGTAGGGGAGAGAACTGTTCACTGACACCATCCCTTGCTGCTTCTTGTGGTGATTATCACTGTATGGGTAACATTTCCACTTTATCAATCCGAAAAATAAGCTACTGACTGGGTAAGAAAGCAGCCAGAAGTCACCACAAGATCCATTTTCAGAATTAAAACAGAAGGAGGTTCCTGCCTCTGAGTCTATATATTGACCACTGCACCATGTTCCATCTGATTCAATTAATAATGCAAAAAAATACCGAGAATAGGGAAATCTGTTTTCTGAGGCACCCAGGCAAGCTTGCGCCCGTTCCACACGCGGAGGGGAGGCAGCGCGGGGTTGTAACCGTGTCTATTGTACTGGTCATCATACTCCGATACTAAATGCCGGCTTCTCGGTTCGTCATGATGGGCGAGGAAGTGCTGCGCCGGCAGCCCCTGAAACGAGATGGATGTGGAACCACGTGATTTGTCTTTGTACGTGGCACTCGGGTGCCTTAGTGTGCTTTTGAGTCTGTCCGAGCGGTAGCCCCACATTTTGTCCGTACTTACATTATTTATAATTTAATCCCTGAGAACAGGGGCATTTGCCTTTCAAGTAAACGTCCAGTTAAATTAAGCAACTGCATCTCTGTGTCATAAGATCTGATTAGTCTGATTTCAACACACGCATCAGGGATTTGCAGATACATTTAAGAAGCCTGTGAAAGAAAAGCTGCTTGTCTTGCGCCGCTTAAGTGTTTGGCTGCTGCTGTTACACATGCGGCTTCCAAGTGTGCCAGGAGAGAATGACAAGCGGGTCTGGGGGTGGAGAGGCAACCCGGAGGAAGGGACATTCTAGCAGATGATACTTGTGGGAAAACTATTGTTGTGAAAGATGTGGGACTCATTTCAGTACAGTTTGTTCCTACGAATCGGAGATGTACTGACAAAAATAATCCTCTTTAACTGGCAAGCTCCTGCGATAGCCCAGGGAATGTCCCGACAACACAATACCCAGTCCTAGCTGGCAGTAACGTGCTGGTTTTCTTCAAACGCCCTGGTCACCCTCCGAGGTCAGGACTGGGAAACAACCAGAGAGGACCGAGCAGTGCGTCTTGTCCGGCTGCCTCGGAGACGCCGCCTGCCCTGGTCGGGCATACGAGGGAGCTCCGGACACTATAAAGGGCCATGGAGCTGTGGTGCCCCCTTTCACATAGAGAGTTGTTTAAGGATATAAAACATGATTTAAGTATTAGGGCTGTTTGGAACGCTGGCTCACAGCCCTACCCCTCAAATTTCTTTTGCTTACCTCGTATTTTTCCACCATGGCTCTCCTCAGTAATGTGTTTGCTTTGTGATCTGGGAAGCAGATGAAGTCCGTTTTGTATATGCTGCTGCCAGGCACCCTGGTGTCTGTTGTAAACTAGAGAGATACACAACACTCGCTATAGCTAAGGCAATCTGATAATTACAGAAGGCTCTTCACCTACACAGTTAAAATCACTTGTTTGGAAGGAAGTCTGTGCTAAATACTTTTTCTCAGCTGGTGACATAACATGGTATCATCAGCCGTTGTAATGTTCTGGATTGGTTCCTTGGTGTAAACATAAGATGCTCTACAGCCCTTGAAAAATTATTCATGTTTTGGTGTTAAATACTTCCCCCTGCGATGTTAACGAGCATCTAAACAGGATGAATGAAACTCTTTTTTTTTTTTAATTGTCCCTTTGTTCCTACTTCTGCTGCAGCAGGCCAGTCTCTGCAATATAGCCGAGCATTCTGCTCCAGGAAAAAAAGTCCTAAGGAAGTAATTTTAGCAGAGTCAGGAGGATTTTTCGCCAACAGCTCCAATATTGACCCTAAGAGGCACATTTCAACAAAGTTAAATGTCTAACGACCCAATTTTGCTCAGCTCTTAGGCAGGGCATGCAATCTATCGGGCAGCTCTGCTAGCAAACGTGCTCCTCTTTATGCAACCAACATCCAAATTATTGAAGGTCCTACGATACAAGCAGTAGTAACTCTTAACTTAGGGAAGGGTTAATAAGCCTCTCCTGTGTGATGTTGGTATATATTATTGTTTATCTTGTCGCACAGTTGGAAGTTGTGTGGCAGCATGAAGCAAAGCACTGCAGCGGTGTTAACTGGCCACTGCTGTGCCTGGTGAGACCCCCAGGCTCTGCCCCCTGCCCAGGCATGGCTCCCGGCCAGCCTGCGAGAGCAGAACGGCCGATCGCTCACCAAGCGAGCGCACGTGGGCCAAGCGACGCGCTCGGCCTTTGCCCTTCTATGAGTCTGCCGAGGGGAGCGGGAGCTCTGGCTCACGGCTGCAGCAGCACACGACCTGCACAGCTCTGCCCCGGAGCCCTCCACCGCAGCTCTCGCACCCCTGTCCTGAGCTCACCCTTCTCCTCTCCTCCAGCCAGTTTCCGATGAGAACTTTACTAGAGTATTTGGGTTCAACTTTCAACCATGTTTGTTCCTCGTCTTCGTATGCCATGGTAATTCCTTGTCTCACCAGCACCACCCTCCCTGGCTGTTGGAACCAAGTCCCTCAGGTTCTGCGGGTGAAGGATTACTCAGCAGCCCATCACTAAAGCCGGGGCAGGAGGGGGCTCCTGTTCTGCCTGCGTGCTGAGAAACACGGGTGATGTGGGACTGCTCCGCCGGAGAACTGTGTCTCCTGTTCCCATGGTGACTATTGTTCCCGTGACAGCATACTAGGTGACGTCACGTACTGCTGAGCAACATGGTGCCCCCTGACCCACGGAAGCCAGCGGGGTTTTTCTCTCTAACAAAGTTCAGAGTATGTCTCAAAATATTGCTCTAAGTGCTCTACAAGTATTCCTCTAGAGCAAGGCACCACACAGACCTGCACAACACCCAATCTCTCTTCACGGACACACGCATTTTATTTCAAACAAGTGGGACAAACCAGGATGTCCATTCAAAGTAACATTCTTCTTTATTGACAGAGCTAAAGATAAGGGCTTGCAGCGAGGTACAAGCTTGCATAAGGTTTGCGTTCCATGTTCCAACTACCAGCTGGAATGAGGTTCTGATAAGCCTTGTTTATCGTTGTTAATGGCTGCCCTTGACTGACTACCCATCATCTGATATTAAATATCCTAAAAAGATATTTTCCTAGGTTGAGGCATGAACAGACTCGTGGAATCTAAGATGTTTACTATAAGCTTTTCAAGAAGTTAACAACACTGTCCAATCCCCTTTTCCCAGATGGAAATGAGAACCCGCAATAATCATATAGGCTTATGATCCCGTGGAATCCATCCTCGAGGTGGTACCAGGTCACTCGAACACCGTTGTCCTCCAGTCTCTTCTTGTAAAGCAAGCCGTCGTCCCTCAGCACGTCGTACTCGCAAGTCAAGATGAAAGACTCGGGCAGCTGGTGCACAACGGCATCTTCAGCTAACAGTGGACACAGGTTGGGCTCACAGAATCTTTTCACTGTCTCATAAACTTCAGCTATAAAATCAGTGGGCATGAGCGGCTTCACACCTCTCACCTTAAACTCTTCGGGGATGTTATCAGGACTCACCCACTTCCTGTACTTCAGCCTCATATCTGGAGGAATGTGAGAGCCCTCCAGGACCTCGTGCATATGCAGCGCGTGCCCATTCAGGTACTGCAAAGCAAAGAAAGCGGCACGTTCTCGGAATAAGAGAGGGACTCCGCGATTTTGATGGTAAGATGGTAAGTTGAAGTCCAGGGCCTGCAGGCCGGGGTAGATCAAGATCTGAGCCCGCAGTTTGGGCAGGTCTGACCTCCCGGCCAGGGTCTGGCTGACAGCAGCTGCCAAATTGCCCCCAGCGCTGTCCCCGCAGACAATCACGCGGGCGGGATCCACGCCGTAGTGCTCCAGGTTCCTCATCAAGTGTAAGGTGGCGTTAAGACAGTCTTCGTACGCAGCGGGGTATTTGTGTTCAGGAGCTAACCGATACCTAATGCACAGAAAGGGACAAGGACAAGAAAAGGAAACATCATTAATCAGGACACGTATCCTGTGCTGTCTTCTAGCTCTGTCATTTTGGGGTGTTCTTCCTCTAGGTTCGGATACCCCTCACCTCCGAAGCAGATATTCCCCAGTTACCGATTGCGGATAAGCTGTAAACTGTGTTTTCAGTCACAAGGACTCAGTAAAGTAGGATTGTCTTCTGATTAAGTGTCTGACTGAGACTTTGTACATTTCTCAGTCATGCTGAAAACTCCCTGGGTATTCTTGACAAAATAATCTAATAATTTTGTGCCTCTGCTTCCTATCTGTAAAATGGGAGTTGTACAGTGTGATTGTTCTCTCTTTTATATAAATAAATCACAGTTGTTTGAAACATCTATTATTATTATATTTCTATGTTCAGCACAAAAAACCCTTCTTTTTACCTAAGTCTTGATTGGCTTTTACATATTTTCTTAATGTGCCAGGTATTTCCATTTGGGTCTTTTCTGAATATATCAAGGCAGGCAATCAGCTGTGAAACCTCCATTATCATAATAATGACATCTAATTATTATCTTAATTATCATAATAATGATAATAATGATGTCTCTTTCGGGTTTCACTGAATTCTATAGAAATTTCTCGGCAAAAAAAGAATGTCTCCAAAACCAGCGCAGCTCTGCTGTGGCACCGCAGCAACAATCATACCCAAACAGTACAACTGGGAAGGGTTCACTTACTGAACAGATACAACTACCGATTCACTTTCTCTGGATAGGTAGCGGCACACTTTTTCATAGGTATCTGGAAAAGAAATATTCTTCATTAGTGCTCCGCTACCACCCTCATCTTTGAGACAGCTCGGGAATGTTCATGCCAGAAGCACGTGTATTTGTCTTCAGGCTTCCTCCCGAGTCACACGCCGAAAACTCCTCTCATTTAAATTTTACAAAAAGGTGAGAATTTTCTTTCTACATTACTGTAACTCCTCCAGCAAGTATCTTACCAAGACTTCCAAATACCCAGCCTCCTCCGTGAAAGAAGATGATGCCTCTCCTTCGCCCATCAGAGGTAGCTTTAGGCTGATAAACCCTCACAGGTACTTTGTTAAACTGCAGATCCTGGATGAAGAGCTTTGGATCCTCCCCCAGTTTCCGTCCCTGTCGCACGTATCGGCCAAAAGTGATTTGACTGCAGAGCCCAGTCTTCTCCAGAATCCTTCCCTGTTAAAGAGAAAAGAAATGAAGGTTTCTTTAGAAATCTTGAATTAGCCAAGGTATAAAAACTCTGCATCGTACTTACACTGAACTGTATTCGAGGGGAATTTTAAAGAAACACAGAGCTTACCAAAAAAGCAAAAAAACCAAGTTGTAATGTTGCAAAGCATGACTGTACCGTAACAGCAGCAGAAGTTAGGTACGTCCTGGCAGGTCTGTTCACTGAGGAGAGAGGTTGTTCAGGCCGTAGTTTTGCCTTAATAAACCCGTGGAAAACAGGGAGGAAAAGTAACTCCACTGCTGGCTTTCTTGCTAGGAATGCCCAGTCCGAAGAAAGCAAGACCCCAGAGCAGAGTCAGAAAACATCATTTGTTTTAAGACTGCCCAGGTTAGAGTTCCGGAATCGTTAAGGTTGGAAAAGGCCTCTGAGATCATCCAGTCTGACCGTCAACCCAACACCCCCATGACCACTAAAGCAGGTCTGCATGGGTCTGCAGCACCTCCAGGGATGGTGTCGCAGGTTAGGGCTGGGC